CAGCCCTGCAAGGCCACGGCACCCAACCCACCGTGGCCAACTCCTGTAGCACAGGCAGGCTGCTTCATCAACCGTCCCTGCGAGATTCGAGCTAGGAGGGAATTTATATACACACACCACAAAGCAGTATCTAACTGGCCTGCAAGCCCAGACAAGCTGACACTCCCTAGATAACCTCGTCATCCTCCCCCTAAACCACCCCCGGCCCATCCACGTAACCAGCCCTGCGTGTTTATGATCTGTCAAACACATGATTGTCACCTGCCAAGCCCTGCAGATGAGCTTCTTCCCATCCTGTCCCTCTGTCAGGCACCGCTGGTCCCACCCGCACCCATCACCAGCAGATAGCAAGGGAGGACACGGCTCCCGGCACCACCGAATCTCAAAAAACCTCCGAAACCTTTATGGGAACGAAATACAATTATTAAAAGCTGCTTTTAGGTTTCCTAGAAGATACAACAGGCACTATCAAGGCAGGAGATGAGGCAGCAGGGTACAAACGCCCCGTGACAAGGGGCACTCGATGCCCAACAGGCAGCTCCCTGAGAGGAGAAAGTCCAAGCACCACCATCATCCTCAGAGAGGTTCATCTGATACAAGCAGTTAGGCTGATGCCAGTGCCAAACCACAGCTAAGCTTAGCAGCCTCTGATGGGAAATTACTTGTATCAAGCACTCTGGAGGTTTCTTCCTTTCCAAAACTAGATTTTTTTTCTTCGGTGGTGGTGTGGGGGGAGGAAGGGTGGATGCTCTACAAACAACTTCTGGTAAGTTTTGTCTCCTCCTCATCCTGCCTCTTCTTCCACTCAAATTATGCTTTTAACAGAAATTTATCCTTTTTTTTTTTTTTTTTTAAAAAAAAAAAAGGCAGCATTTCATTTGAAATGATGAAATTAATGCTCAGAGCAGGGGACAGACCTAGCTCAGCATTGACCCTCGCAGAGCACAGTGCAGCACCCCAGTGGGTGTTGGACCCTCCCCAGCTCCCCGTGCACCCTGCCAGCTCCCGGAAGATTAAGCAACAGCCAGGCCATCACCTTCACACACTTCTCCTTCCCTCACTTCCCCGTGAGCAGGGCTATAAAGCCATTGCTCCCAGGAACAGGGCAGAGACATCCCACTGCACCACACCCCAGTGCACCAAACAGCTCCCTGAGGTCACAACACTTACATTTCAGAGAAACCAAACTCCAGCACTGGATGTCTTTAAAAACAAGATCGGGTGTCTTTTTACACAATCTGGCTGAAGTCACCCAAAAGCTGTTGGACCGGCTGCAGTAATTCCTGGAAGCAACGTCCTCACCTCCAGCCCAGCACGATGCTCGCCATTGTCCCTTCTGACCTCAAACCCCATGATTCAGGTATTTTCCCATTCCCCCCCCACACGAGATCCAGCAGCACACAAGGGCAATTGTGCCACACAGAAAAGCCCACCAGCCTGCAGGGCTTCAAAGGGATGGGTTCTTCCAAAGTGCTGCCCACCTTCTCGTGCAACAGGTCAATACCGCACACAGTGCACAAAGGAGCCCTGTACTATTACACCCGTGGATTAAATAAACCATGTTGACAACGCAGCACAAGATTAGTGGGGGAAAGGATGCTGAAGAGGGTCCACCTCCCCCCCACCTTCATCCCACCGCAGGACCAGAACCTCCCGCAGCATTAGGCAATGATTCCCTCCCTCCCCTGGGACCATGAGACCCCCAAACCCTGCCCTTCCCCTTGGCCACACCATAACCCACTGCATCCCGCACGGGCAGCAACTCCACTCCAGTCTTTTCCTGGACAGAGAAGCTGCTGTAAGAGAAAGGTGCAGGCAGGGAGCCCTGTCCCAGCTCCAGAATAGGGAGCAGAGATTTGGAGCCACTGCAAACCGAGGCCAGCTGGGGTCACAAGACACTACTGTGATATCTGAGATGGCTGCAGTTGTGCCCAGTAATTATGGCATTCCTTGGGGAGATGAACATTTAGACTCACAATGCTGCCATGGAATCAGTGCAGCATTGGCCCCATGCAGATGAGAGGCCGTGGGGAGATGGGGTATCTCCCAGGCTGAAAAAAGAACATAAACTTCCAGTTTCCACCATAAAAAAATTCTCTCTGCCCTCTCCCCAACTCAAAATCCCTGGCCAACACTCGACCTGCGCTACAGAGTTTTGTCAGCAAAAGAGGCGGCGGGTAGATCTAGCTCCATACATACCCACAAGCAGTCCTGAGTCATGCCAGTAAAACCCCAGACTTTTTGCCAGTAGAGTAAAAACACCTCCCCAGCCAACGCAAGTTCCTCTCCCAGCTCTTTCCCCAGCAAACAGCCTGCCCAGGCAGTGCCTTGTTAGCAGCAGTGAAAACCACCTTCCATCCAAAAACCCACAGAGCCCCACATCCGCAGCAGTGGCTTCTTGGGTCACAAAATCACCAGGACCAGAAACCCGCACCGAATCTTTGGGAAGCTCTACAAGACACAATTACAAAATACGAGTTTCCTGCAGCAACGACCACCTCTGCAAACAGGGGCAAAGCAAACTCCGGCTCAGCCGTGGACTGCAGCCCAGAGCTGGAAAATAAAGGCAGCAGCCTTCGGGGAGAAGCATTATCCACTAAAAAAAAGCAGGGGAGCATCCCTCCGTGGAGGGAAATGGATTACTGAAGCACAGTTAAATATTTATCACGTCCAACATGATATTTTCCAGGTGCCCACCGTTATGCTAGCAGAAAGTGGCATGAGGAGGAAGGCCAGAGCAAAGCGCTGTGCGCTCCCTTTCCGATTGTTATAATTAATTGGATGCAAGTTCCGTAATGCTTCAACTAGAATCAAAATAAAAACCTGGCTCCATGGGATCAGAGCTCTTACCCCTGCCACTCCCGCTGCCCACACACACCCAGGGGACACCAGACTGGTGGCTGCCCTGCCCAGACACGATGGGAGCCCGAAGCCAGGATCCTGCTTCTGCATATCACAGCCCCATGTGTATTTTCAGCAGAACTGCCTTTTTTTGGGGTGGCGGCAGGAAAAGTGTGAATGGCACATGAGACAGTACAGGATTCACAGATGACTGAATTGCATAACAGTGGTGTGCTCCTGCGGAGGGCACAGCCAGGGCACGGGAGGGACGCGTCCCCACCGCTTATTTACCTACCCAGAATAGATGGTGCCACCAGAACAAGTACCAATTCATCCCCAGGTTCTGGCATTTCTCCCCACTGATTTTTTCCAATCTCTGTGTCAAAAGAGAGCTGCCTCCCCAGAAACACAGCCTGGCTTAGCCAGATCCTCTCCCCAACAGCACCTATCTTCCCAGAGGAAGATCTCTCCCCCAAAGAGAAGGACTTGGTTTTGAATTACTCAGGCACCGGCGCTGGGTGAGCCCAGGGGAGGCTGAGCAGGTCTCCTCCTGCCAGACCCCATCCGTGCACCTTCCCTCCCCGCAGCTGCACAGCTGCTTTCTCCAGCAAACTCCCCGGTTTTGGGAGACACGTATCTCCCCACCAGCACGCTCCTGCCTGTCCCTCCAGGAGGGGCTCCCCAAGTCACAGCCAACAGCCACGGTGATGGGCACACGGGTCTTCACACACAGGTAGAAAATATGCCTCAAGTCCCAGGGGAAAGGCAGCAGCCTGGATTTGTAGGCACTGAGTCTAACACAAGCTCTTGCACCCTCTGCCGTGTGCCTGCACACACCCAAAGGCTGCAAACTCCCCCAGGCTCCATCCCCTCCTGCTTTAACCTCTCAGATACAACACCCCTCCCTTCACAGCATCCATTTCACCAAAAAAAGCTCAGACTTTGTTGGAGAATCATGCCCAGGACTAGCCACAGCAGCAGCTCTGGTGCTTTGCACACAATTCCTTCCCTCAGTGGCACCCATTCAATGAAAAACAGCTCGAGGGAGCTTTGGTGACCTGAGACAACAGGGAGCTTTTGCATATTTCAGTAATCATCAGACCTGACAGTGCAAGATAACACTGAAACCAAGCGACGTTTTCCCACACACCTGATGCTGCACAATAATTTAGATCAAGCAGATACAAGCAATACAAGAGGAAAAGAAGAAATCCTTCCTAAGCTTCGCATAATCCCCAGAAGGTGTTTATCTCACAAACTATGTTTAGCACAAAGCAAGGCAAAGCTCTCGCTCAGCACCATTCCTATCGCCCAGCACCATTCCTATCGCACGTGTCACAGCCAGCCACGCGCATCCCCAAAAACTCCCGAGGCAGGAGACAAGCCCATGACTAAGCCAAAATGACAGCAGGCAAGTTTTGGTACACATCCATCATGGAAACAGCCAACTTGAGAGCTTCAATGCAGCGGCCTCCATTTATGACCCTGATCAAGTCAAGCCCAAGAAGGGAAAGCAACCAGCAAAAGGAAACCTGAGACTGCTCGCTGGATTTCCCTAAGGAAAATTAAGGAAATTTAGCTTAAATTCTGGCCGCCTGAAAGGAGAGGCAGAAGGAGCTGCCATGAGTGCTGGCAGCAGCATCTGAAGGTATTCGGACCTGCGAGCATCCCTACGCGGCAACGGGCAGCCGGCAAACCCGCTCGGAGGGCTGGCACTGCCCAGGCAGATGCAAAACCAAGGAGAGGCATGGTGGATGGCTAGCAGGACAAGAGGAGAGGGTTTTGAAGAGGCAGACGTGTTACACACGCTCAGGATCGATCCCCGTGCTGAATGCTGCCCCAACAAAGGAGCTTCGGGTCAGATGCCAGTGCCAGCAGAGACCAGGTGCACTCAGCACACGTGCGATGCCTCCAGTGAAGGGTATTAGGAATAACTGTATGAATGAACCAGTTGGGTATAACCAACAGCCCCAACGCCACCAGAAACCTGCAGACACAGAAGGGTTCCAAAACTTCCTCCGAGGAAAGCACCACGCGCCCAGGTGCTCCTGCGGGCATCGCCTTTTGCTGTCAGCCAGATTGCTTCCTCCAGAATCCTCCCAGGCCCAGCTCAGGCCTCGTCACTCATGAGGTACGAGTGGTCCCTCGGCCAGACTCACCTTTTCCCTCCATCCACACATCCACACGCTGCACTACGGCGAGCTGAACAAGAGGTCTGGGCTTGGGCGTCCCAGCAAGAGCCTTTTTAAGAAGCCCGGTTGATCCTTTTCAACGCGGGACAGCAGCTGGAGGCATGTGCTCCTACCTGTGAGTCAGCAGCTCCGCTCAGCAGCACCGTAAATCGCTGCTGATTCACACCCTGCTTACACAGCAAACAGGAAACTCAGGTCCACATTCCCTCCGGTTAAGACATGGATCGTTTTAAAAGGAGGAGGGGGGGGGGAAAAAAGTCACGCCGAGGTGCGTTCATCTGCTCACATGGTTCCTGACTTCAAGTTTCCAGCGCATCACTCCTGAACAAGGAAAACCCCTCAAATTTTATTCCGGTGATAAGAGAGAGGCAGCAGCTGTAGTCCGTGCGCTGCCTCCTCCGCTCGCGGCGCTGATGCAACCGGCTCCCTGGAGCACCAAGACACCAGCAAAACCATTTCCCTCGTCTTCCTCAACGCCGGCACACTGGCGGTGTCATCCGGGGCCGATGCCTGCCGGCCGGCGCTCACCTCGGGCCGGCGACCGGGCCACCTGAGTCACAGCAATGCTCTATAAATAAACACCCGTGACACACCGTCACGTTTGCGTGCCGCGTACGTCGGCCACGACGGGCAACTCGGCCACGGCGCTCCCGGCATCGGGTCGCGGCTTCGCCCCAGCCGCCGGTGTGACGCCGGGGGGACCAGCATCCTCGCCCCCATCCTTCCCGCCTCACGAGGCTGAGACGAAGGCTGCGCTCATCCTCAGCGCGCACCGCTCCAAGCCAGCCATGCCGCTCGCTGAGCTGCCACGGGTGGTTTTCTTTGAGGGGGAAGAGACTCCAGCAGCAGGAGAGGAAACTTGAAAATTTCTTTTTTTCTTCTTTTTTTTTTTTTTTTTAATCGCTTTCCACGCCAAGAGGAGCTTCGCCCCGTCCCTCCCCCGCAGGCCCAGCGCCGCGCTCGCTCCCCATTTCCCGCAGCTCTGCAGCTCCGGGGAACGCAGGACCCCGGCCCCGGCCAGCGATACCGGGCTGCAGGCGTGGAGCAGCGCGGAAAACACCCGTGGCCCACGCAAAGGAAGCCCCGGCCGGTGGCAGCGGGAAGCCCACGCCCGGCGGGTTGGGCAATAGCCCCGTCCCCACGGGTTACGCCAGACCCGAAGACGCGGTTCCAATTCGATCCCCCCCCACCCACCCACCCACTCCATCGCGGAACCCCGAGCCCAGCACCCCACGGAGCATCCCCCCCCCCACACACACACACACGCTCCTCGGTACCTCTGGGCAGGGACATGGCTGGCGACGGCCCCGCTGCGCCCGGGCAAAGCGCGGCGCCCGGCGGAGTCCGGCCCAGCGCGGCGGCCGCCGAGGAACAACCGCGGGGCGGAGCGACGGACGGCGGGCTCCGCCCCCCCGCTCTGCGCCGCGGGATTGGCCACTGACGGGGGAGGAGGCGTGGTTAGTGCCTCCCGAGGGAAGAGCTTCGCGGTTCTCCGGTAGGGCTGTGAGGGTGAAGTGAGGCGGGCGGGAGGGAGAGCGGTGCTGTGCAGCCTGGGGGGGGGGCGTGATCCCACTGTCCCTACCACCGGGGTGACCCCGCCACGACAACCCACAGGGCAGAGGTGGAGTTTGGGTCGCGGAGCTCTGTGGGCAGCATGGCCCAGGGGGGCCCCGTTGCCTCACACCACACCTCTGACAGGAGCATTGACTAGGAGCCTGGTGCTGTGCAGCTGAGACTGGCCAATCTCATCGCATCTTCCAGGACGCTCTGCTCCTGCACACCGTGGATCCCACGGGTGGGTCCGGCTGAAAATTCGATGGGGATTTATTCCTCTCCGAGTCACTGGGGAACCAATCCCTCCCAGCCCAGCAATGTGCTGTGGCAGGTCTCGGGGTGAGGATGCTCCCCCAAACACCGGAGCTGGGTTGCCAACAGTAGTGGCTGAACAGGACGTGAGTGATGCAGTTGAACAAGCAAAAATGAGATTACGAGTGCCATTTTCTGGCTGAAATTCCTAGCATGATCCATAAAGAGACATAGGAGGGGTTGGAGGGGTGGCAACTGCAGACAGCCCTGGTGAAATCACAGCTGGTCTGTCACAGCCACTTCTCAGCTCTGTGTTTTGCAGAGCATCTGGGATCAGATGAGGGCTGGAAAACCTGCCTCAAAACCAGACAGCTCAAGGGAATCACTGCAGGAGGGAAGGAGCTGGGTGGATTGGGGTCTGTGTCTGTCCACAGAGCACTGATGCCTTGAATGGACCTGGAATCCAGCAGCAATGGCATAAGATCCAGCAGCTGCAAACTGAAGCTAGAAAAGTTCAAATGGGAAACAAATTACAGTTTTTTTACAGGGAGAGCAATTACCTTCCCGAGAGACGTAGTAGATTCACCACCTTTCAAGTCTTTCAACACAGGCAAGGAGTCTTTCTAAAAAAACTCCGCTCCAGTTCAACCACAGCGTTATTAGCTCTGATGCAAGAGCCGCAGATGTCACTGCCTGGGCTGGGCAAGCAGGAGGTGGGAGCAGAGGGGACCTTCCTGGCATTTAGCCGTACGAATCCCTGAATCAACAATGGGGTTTGAACTCTAGCCCGACTGATCCGAACGGGTTTGGGCTGGGCTAGGCTTTGGGTGCGAGATTCCGAGGGTGCCACTGCAGAGCAGAGCATCGTTAGCACCTTTGCAAATGTGGACGTGGACCTGCGAGGACCGGTGGGACAGGCTTCAACACTTCGTCTTGATGCTGGCAGCACCTGGGGTGTCATTGCAAGTGCAGGGCACGACCCTGCTGTCCCCAAGCACGTTACATGCTACACCATTCCTCCACCTGCATCCCCAGGCATGGCTGGAGATCGCCGCTGGCCCTGGCTGCAATTACAGGGGTGGATGAAACAGTCGCCTGGCTTTTATTCACCCATCTTGAATTGCCAGGCACTTCACAAGTGGGAGTTTGTCACCTGTTCCGCCGCCTTCCAGCTCAGGAGCAGGAATAGAAATTGGGGTACACTTGGCATCAAAATCCAACAGGGTGGGAAGGGGTGGGGCTGGGGAGGGAGCCCACAGACCCCCACAGGCTGTGGGAAAGGGACCAGAGGCAGCATACGGTCACCTCCTTGTCGGTGGCAGTGCATGGAGACCTCTTGGGAGCACCCCTCCTTTTCTTCTGCAACCTCTCAGTGCCTGCCAGCATGGCTCCTTTTGCCTGCACCTCTTTCATCTGCCTGAGCTGCTGTTGTCAGACCCAGCAGACTTTCTGCTGGAAAAGTATATCTGAAAGAGCAGAGGCAGCTGTAACTGCTTGCCTAGGGCAGAGGGAATCATCACAGGCAAAGGCAGAGCAAAGCATCCCAGTGGAGCCTGAGCGCTCCCAGAAATTTCAGCAAGGGTGCTGGGTTTTTGGCACCCCTGGAAGGCTGGTCTGTGTTTCCAGGGTGCTGTCAGTAAACTTGTAGGTTTGCAGGCTCTGGAAGGAAAGCATGACAGAGGGAGAGAGAAGGAGGTACAGGTGCATCCCAGGGCCAGACCTCACTGGACACGCTGGGACTTTTGCCGGTGGCGCTCGATGCTGAACTCTTCAGCGCTGGCTCCTCACTGTGGGGCTGCAGCAGCCTTGGTTTGGAAATGCACCCATGGCAGGACAGGGTGTCCCCGGTGTCCCCAGCATGGTGATCAGGGAGATCACTGAGAGAGCCTTTGTCTGTGCCAAACCTGCTTCTCCTTTCCCCTCCCTCCTAAGGTTTCCCAGTGAAGTATCTGACTTTTTCCTGAGCACCCACCCCTATGTGCTGGAGGGCATCAGCGCTCCCTCACAGCTCCAAGGAAGGTGGAGGATTGGGCCTCTCTCTCCACCTTGTTCCCCTTTGCCCTTGGGCTTGCACCACTCTTTTTCCTCCCTGCAAAATCACAGCTGTACTTGGCCTGTCTGTTTGCAGTGTGTTTGCTTTCCCCTGCATTCCCCTGCTCCGGGTGTTTTGCCATTTTTATCTTCCTTCATTGCTGTACAGCGTGGGAACACAGGCAGAGAGAAGGCTGCCAGGGAGGGAATGGGAAGGACAACATCTCACCACTGACATTTTCTAGCCTTTCATGGAGGAGGGAACTGAAGCGAGCAGACACCAATTTCTGCAGACCAGTGGGTGCTGAGGGTGCTCGATGGGAACAGGAGAGCATGATCCCGATGGGCACAACACCAGCCCCTGGCACCAGCCAATGGAGCAGCACAAACCAAACAAATCAAGTGGCCTGATGAATTAATCAGCTGATGGACTCTAACTCAGGGAGCAGGAGCCAAAGGGATGAGTAAACAAAGGCCAAGCTACACGAGATGGTATTTAGGTGCAGAGTAGCTGCCAGTGAACTATTACAAGTTGCAGATTAATTCTAGGTGTTGCTGCTTTTCCTGTTGCACAGGCAGCCGCCAGCCTGCCCCACTGCGCAGCCGGCGTGCAGACACCTCGGACAGGCTCAGCTCCTACCTCCGAGAGCTTTCGGTTCAAATATATCGAAGTGTTGCTGCTACAGCTCCATGGGCATGAAGACAAATGCCCCTATCTCCTTCCCTGTTCTTGCACGTGGTGGATACACCGGGGTTATTGAGCAGTCCCTGATGTACACGACGTGGTGTGTGGAATCATAGAATCCTAGAATCATAGACTGGTTTGATTTGGAAGGGACCTTGAAGATCATCCAGTACCACCCCCCTGCCCCGGGCAGGGCCCCCTTCCCCCAGCCCAGGGGGCTCCCAGCCCCGTCCAACCTGGCCTTGAACCCTTCCAGGGAGGGGGCAGCCACAGCTGCTCTGGGCACCCTGGGCCAGTGCCTCACCCCCCCCACAGGGACGAATTTCTTTCTTAGATCTAATCTAAATCTGCCCTCTTTCAGTTTAAAACCATTACCCCTCATCCTATCTCTACATCCCCTGATCAAGAGTCCCTCCTCACCTTTCCTGTACTCCCGTTAAGCACTGGAAGGCCGCTATAAGGTCACCCCGAAGCCTTCTCATCTCTAGGCTCAAGTGCTTCTGTTTTTGAGGGTGCACTTAGTGCAGCCATCCCATAAACAGCGACTACGGCATGTATGTGTCCCCCTGCCACCCACGGTGTCCCGTGACAGCTGATGCACAAAGTTTCCCTGGTTTTGGGGACCGCTGGGACCAGCACCTTGAAGCCAGCTCTTCACACAGCAGCGTGGCCACCCTGACGAGCTTCTTGGTGCTTCCCGGGGTTTTCTGTGCTGCGGGGTGACGGGACACGGTGATGGGACGTGGCGTCACCCTGTGGTGAGGCACCACCAGCCCTGCCCTGCGCTGAGAAGAGGCCCGCTCCTGGGGGGCAGAGCATGGCACGGGGACCTGGGGCAGCCAGCCTGCAGGGCACCAGCACAGCACCAGTGCACCAGTCCCACGTGCTGGTGTAGTAACAGCGCAGCACTGGTACACCGGGGCAGACAACCCAACAGACGGCTGCGATACCCAGTGCAGTAACAACCGCAGGGCAGGTGGCACAGTGGGGCAGTACTAGTGCCCTAGGGCTGGGCCCCTGCGCAGTACCAGTAAGCTGGTACAGAGTACCCAGCGCAGGACCAATACACCAGTACAGAGCACTAGGGCCGCACCAGCATCGGGTAAACCCCAAACCCAAACCCAAACCCAAACCCAAACCCAAACCCAAACCCAAACCCAAACCCAAACCCAAACCCAAACCCAAACCCAAACCCAAACCCAAACCCAAACCCAAACCCAAACCCAAACCCAAACCCAAACCCAAACCCAAACCCAAACCCGTGCCCGCCCGCGCGAGGGCGCCGGGGCCCGCCGCTCAGCTCCGGCGGGGCCGGCGTTGCGCTGCCCCTTTAAGAGCCGGGCGGCCGTACCAAAACAAAACGGCGGCGCGGCCATTGGCTGGCCCGCGGGCACGTGGCGCACAGCTGGTTTCCTGCGGCCGCGCGCCGGTGGCAGCCCCGCGGCGCCCGCCGCCCCGGCCCGGCCGCTGTTCCCGCTGTTCCCGCCTCTACCCCCCCCCCCCCCCCCCCCCCTTCCCGCCGCCCCGTCCCCCTTTTACCGCCGCTCCCCCCTCCTCCCCTCACTGAGGGGTTCCGTCCGGGGCCCGGCCCGGCCATGGCGCACTCGGCACCGCTCGGCCTCTTGGAGCAGGGCTGCCCCATCCAGGTGGAGCACGATCGGAAGCGGCGGCAGTTCACCGTGCGGCTGAACGGTAAGAGGCGGGGGTCTGGCGCCCCCCTCCCCCCTCCGGTGCCCTCCCTGCTCCTCTTTCCCCACAGTTCTACCCCTCAGGGGGGTCCTACCCCCCCCCATTTCCCCCCGTGCCACTGTGTCCCCCAGCACCTACGGTCCCCCGTGCCCCCCGATATTCTCTGAGCCCCCCCCGCACCCTCCTCAGTGCCCCTGGTTCCTGTTGCTCCCCTCCCCCCCCCCCCCCCCCCCCCCCAATCCATCCTAACCCCTCTGAAATCTTGACATGGGAGACCTGTGGGTCTTTTTTGGAGCCTCACGCTGGCGTGGGCAGATTTTGGGGGACACACACACGCACATGCTTGTCCCCTTTCCCCCCCCCCCCCCCCAACCCTTGGACAACGTGGAGGTGGTGCGCCAGGGCGGTGTTGGGGACGTGCCTGGGTGGCACGAGCTGCTGGGTGGCTTTTCTGGCGGGGTTCCTGCAGGGAAGCCTCTCGGGGGTGTGCATGGCCCCACGGGAACCCGGCGCTGTGGGTGCTTCAGGAGGACCCCCAGACACAGAGCCAAGCTGCCGTCAGCACCCGTGGGACCGGGGCTGTGGAGTCTGGCGATGTGGTGACACCCCCCCCCCCCCCCCCCCACCTCCAGCTCTGTGGCATTATCAGGTGAAGTGAACAATAAAGTAGGTGCCGCTAAAATTCCTCTATGGCACGCCGATTCTTTTCCAGCCATCCTCTTAATGGTTAATCCCACATATTCAGTGATCCAAATGTCTCTTCCCTGTCTGTCTGTCATGCTGAGAACCACTCGGGGAAAAACAGGCCGCCTCGATGCCCTACAGAAATTGCAGGGTAATTGCCTTTTTTTAAAAAAAAAAAAAATAAAATGGGTAGTTCAGAAAATATACAGACTGTAGGAGGCATTCTCAATAAAACAACAGGAATAGTCTGGATTTTATTTTAGAGTCTTCCTCCCCCCACCCCATTTTCATTTCAACCACTAATTACAAAGTGCAGGCTGGAGGCTTAGCAGTGGTGGAGCAAGGAAGGAGGAGACGTGTGTGCTGGGTGCGGAGAAAACAATTTTACCAACTGCTTATTTCAAGGAGAGGGAGATCAAACGAGGTCTCAGGTGACGGGTCCCTACTACCATCGCGAGAGCTGTAACGCGGTGTTGTCGCGGTCAGCAAAGTTCGTACGTGCACAAAAGAGAGGGGAGAGCTGAGGGCCAACAGTTATTAGGGAAATGTAATCTTTTTATCGTGGTTTGCTGAGTAAAACCTCTGCCACCCACGCCATGGGCTGAGTAGTGTTTGGCGGCTGAGTGGGGATGAGTCGGATCTGGAGAGGGTGAACTTCAAGAGTGGGAGAATCAACTGTGGGACTCATGGTGGGAGTCGTGTGTGAATCAGCACAAAACCTCCTGCTTCAGGAGGGGACCACCATGACCTTCCCAAGGGTTGTAGGCAGATCCCTGTGACCTGGGTTGTTTGTTTTGTTTCTTTTTTTTTTTTTTTTATGGGAGTTTGGGGAGGCTGAACCCTTTTTTGTGAATTCAGCACTGACCACGTAAGGAAGCTGAGCTGAGCAATGTCCTGGTGTGACGGTATTCCTGCTGTGACGGTATTCCTGCCACTGGGCTGACTAACATCCATGCAGAGCGGGTGATCCGTCGTCTCTCCTTCTTTGGCATGTGCTGATAACAGCCAAGCCCTGGAAGGTGGTCAGGAGATAACCATCTCTGTGGGAGTGCGTGGCAGGGTGTTTATTTCCTGGGCTGCTCTCTTCATCGCTCCCTCTCCTGGCATGATGAGCATCAGTGGTGCTGAATGCTCCAGCAGATTTTCCCTGTTGCACGCAGGGGAATGACAAGAAACAGGTCAGGCATGGATTTTAGCATCAACGTGACCCATGACTGTTGCTGAGAGCACTTTTGTCCCATGTTACTGCACTGTGATGGAGATGAACAGCAGCCTGTGGGGTGAACCTGCAGCTCGCCAGTGGGCTCCAGGGTCAGCTTGTCTCTGGAAATGGTGTGGGTGAGGCTTTGGGAAAAAACAGGTGCATCGGGCTTGTGGACCGAGGAGCCAGGCTTTGGTTGTCTCCAGTAATAGCTGGTCTCTGGGCTGATGGCTTGGTGGTTTACAATAGTGTGATGTTGGGTAGAAAACTTTCTGTGGTGATATTTTTATGGAAATCTCTGTAACAAGAGGCCTGGGACACTGAAAGCTGTGAACTAATTGTGAAAGTGTTTTTCAGCATCGTCCTGTGTTTGCCTCTGTGCTCCCACGTAACCTTGTGTTGGGACTCCCTCCTCACACGAGAAAGATAAACTGCATTTGGTGTTTTCTAGGTTACTCTCTCTTTCCCTTTTCTGCTCATTGTTCCCTTCATTGCTGCACATGGCATCTGCTTCACTTTAACACATTCCATTTTTCCTTGCATCCCAAATGCAGAAGCATTGAGAAGGTGAAAGTAAAGCTGATTATAACCAGACCTCACCAAGCTTCATTATCCCTCTGAGAGGAAGGTAGAAAGAAGCCCAACTGGATTTCTAATCAGTTAAGATGTGACTAACAGCACAAGCTAGCCAGAAGCCTCCCCATGCAGCAACTGCGTTGGAAAACATCAATTTGTCAAAGCTAAAAACTTCCATGGGAATTGTATAGTCTGGTTTTGTCAGGAATAGTTGGGGTTTTTCTTTTGGATCCAAGATAAAAGTCCGGGTCAAAACAAGAAACCCAAAGAGACCCCCCACACATCTGCCCCCAAAGTAGTTGGCTGATGAGTCCAGCTGATTGAGGCAGGGGAACAGCACTTTTAGAAGTGGTCTCTTGGACTTCTTGATGCCCATCAAACCCCTCAGGCTCTGCAGTCAGGAGGTGGGCAGACTGCATGCACTGAACAGCTCCAGTTCCTCTGGGATGGATGCGCAAGCTTCCTGCACACCCGCACTCCTGTTCGTTCAGTGCGTGGGTGCAGCAAGCCACGCTTCCCAAACCTCCCAACTCCCCAGCTGGGTTTGGGCAGGATCCAGTGGCTCGAAGCTCCTGCTTTGCCCGCTGCTGATCTGACTCTCGGGAGCTCCTTGTCAGGAGCCCAGGCTCGGGCTTATTAGGAAAAGTGGAGCAGGTTGTGCCTTGGTGTTTTCCTCCCTGCTGAGGCAGATGCTCTCCAGGAGGGGAAAACTGCTGAGTTTGCAGTGGGGATGAAGGGATCTGGTTGCTGGACTCTGCATCAAGAAGACCTCGCTCTTCTCCCGTGCCGCAGTCATCTTGAGAGAGCTCCTAAACAGGAAACTGCTTCAAACCAGAGTGCCCCCCCCCCTCCCTGCCACCGCTCCTGTGAGCGAGGCCCCTCCGTGATGGTTGCACCGCCTCTGCTCAGCTCCGTCAGTGTTTTCTCTCTGTAGTAACATGCCAGTGGCTCCTTGGGGAGCAAGACCAGCCCGCGGCGTGCAGTGAGCTGTGGCTTGGGATGCACGAGCTCCTTGGGATGTCTTGTCCTTTCGGCTTGCCCCACACACAGTTTTCAGTGGCCACCTTTTGGCTCAGCAGCCAGAAGAGCCCAGCTGCCGCCTGCCTCGGCTTTCCTGGGTCTGAGAGTGGGAAATGGGGCTGGCGTCTGTTCTCCCACTCCTTGCTCTCGGGGAATGGCTTTGCAGCAGTGCCCCAAGGAGGCTGGAGCTCAGGGGCTGCTTCCAAAGGCTGATGAGCACAGAAATTGCCCTGCAGGCAGCCAGCCCTCACCAGGCCCATGCCCTGCTCCGGTCCCAGGCACCCAATGGTGTATTGTGGGCTGGGGCCAACTCAGAGGGACAGGGAGAAGGCCTTGGGCTGGAGGGATGGGTCTTGCTGTGCTGCTGGTGCTGTAGCATCCCCTTACTGGGCAGGTACTGCGTGTGCCCCAGGAGAGGGAGTCAGCGAAGGACAGGCTGGAGTGGGGTGCCAGTGTCCTCCCGGATGCCCACCCTGTCCCTTCCTCAGTTTGGGGCTGAGGCCGGGCTTGCTACTTGTTCCCCCGAGGCTCACAAGCTGCTTGGCCTGGGGACTTCTGTCTGGCAGTGCAGCTGAGCCCGCGGTGCAGGGACCTTGTCTGCTGCCCAAAGCCATCCACCCTGCTTGGGTGGAAACTCTGTGCCACTGGTCCCAGTGGAAACCCGCCGTGGAGAGCAAGTTTAGACCTGGTTCCTCACCCACCTCCCCAGCAAAGCTTCTCCTTCCCCGTGTACCCTGCGATTCAAGGGAGGGAGGGCTGAGGACCAGCTGTGCTGCCATTGCTGCCATTTTCATCGTGCAGCCTCCTCTTGCTCCTCTTTCTTGTCGTGCTGATTTGCATTGACTCAGACTTCCTCGCTTGCGGTGACCTCGAAGCCAAGGCGCTGCACAGGGGAGTGTCTGCAAGTCCAAGCATCATGATCAGGCTCATGGGGCACTACTCAGGCCAGCCAAGTCCTGAGCTTGTTTTGCCAAGGTCTGTCTGTGCAGGCTGATAAAATCCCTGCCCCAAAGTCTGAGAGGATGAGACAGGCAGGAGGTCGGCATGCGGTGTCCCTCCTGTGCCATGTTTTGGTGCGGTTTCTGCTTGCGTGCCCCTTCTTCGCAGGGGATTGCAACAAGCTGAGGCTGGGCCCCTCCTGTGAGGGGTCAATGCTGCTTCCAGCACCCCCAGCTTTGCAACGCTCCCTTTGCTGGGAGCAGCCCCCTGTGACCAAGGTACCACGTAGCAGCAAGGCTGGCTTCTTCTAGCATCATATCTCAGTGAGGTGCCTCTGTTCCCCTATCTCCTCCCTCCAGCCCTGGAGAGGCTTTTTGATGGGATAATGAGGGTTATGCCTGGAGCTGCTCATGGAGACCCCAAGAACAGTCCTGATTTTGGGGGTACAGTCTGCTTTACCCTGCTTTTCCCAGAGGTTCTAGGCCCTGTGAGGGTGGTGTGGAGAGGATGTGCAGAGCAGCTGTTTTTGAAGGAAACAGGCTTTCCTGCCAGCCAGTCCTTCCCCTCCCTTTGTGAGCCATTGGCCACCTTCAGCCTTGCTCAGCAGAGGAAGAAGGATCTCGACCTCCAGGAGAGGCTGTTCCTGCAGAACCTGTGCCATGAGCTGGCATTGCTGCGGAGGCAGGGCTGCCACCAGCGCACAGCCCGACAGCATGAGAATCTAGGTGGGATGCTGTCTCACAAATCCATTTGGATCCTGGCTTGTCTCTCCTTTGTTGATCAGGGCTTTTTCCCATCTCCAGCTTCCATGGTGATGCAGTCCTGTGTGTTTACCTGTGCCCAGCTTACAGGTTTGGCTTGGTACATTCTTGCCCGGACAGGTTGGAGATGGTATTTGTGGTGTCCTTTAAGCATCACCACTCACCTCAGGCTATCCCCCTGCATCAGCAAGTCTTGCAATCTGCATGCTTGGTTTGTGGCTCTGCATCACCCACCATACTGCAGCAGGGAGCTGGAGATGAGGGACTGGGAGATGCTCAGTTTAGCCCAGTCCAGTCTGGGGGCTGTGCACGAGTGGGGACACGGCAGCAATTTCATCCGAAACCATTGGTATCACCTGCAGGGCCCACACCAAACCCTGTGGCACTAGTGTCCCTGATTTCATGTGCTAGGTAGCTCAGGGTCCCATCACCAAGGTGAGCACATACAGATGCATTTATGTACTTGGCTGAACAGGCATGCTTTTCTGAACTGGGACCGGTCTCCCACAGCACTGGCTTTCTCTGCAGACCTGGTTATAAAATCCTTTGGGCTCTGTGTGTGTTTTTCTATATGCCGGTGGCACCCTGCAGCTCCTGTCCTAGCTGGGGTTTTGTGGTGCTACTGTGATACAGTGAATATCGAGGGAAAGCATGTCCAGGGTGGATCTGAGATTCTTCAAACACTGCATCACCTTCTGCTTTAAAATGCATTTTTGTGGGTGATATTCTATATAGCTCATTCTCTATAAACATAATATATAGATGTATATTTAAAAAAAAAAACAAAACAAAACAATCTTTTGCTCTGCCATCACTTAAAGAAGGATTTAATTTTGAACTTCAGGCAGAATCTATGGAAAGGTTTGGCTCGGGAGGAGGGCAGAGTGGAAAGGCTGCAGCATGTGAAAGCCACTGTTATAAAAGCATTTTACAGCCTTTGGTGCTGCCAGCTCTGCCAATGGCACCTCTAAGAGCTGCCACCAAACATGTCACTTCTGATTCAAGGGCGAGGGCACCCGGCTTTGCCTGTGCCCTGACCTGGGTGGGCTTTCTCTGGAGTGAAACTAGTCTGTGCTACTGGGGAAGGGCTGGGCTTGCAGCTGCTCCCTTGGCTCTTGGTTTTTTTAGGGTGCCTGGATCCACACAGGGAAATACTGCAGTTATTCTTTTTTTTTTTTTTTTTTTTTTTCCCCGCACAAAGATATACAGAGACTGTAAGATGGGGCTATAGGATCTCATATGCACTGGTCCTGGTAATGGCGAAGAGGCGAGCACCCCTTCAGCCTTTTCCTCACCCCATTACCTCTGTCCATCCCAGCAGTTCACCCCAAACCCTCGGTCCTGAGACAGAGCAGGGGGATCTGGGATCTGTAGGGAGACTAAAAGGGCTTAGCTTTTTGGTGAGCTAGAGGCAGAGGGGGGACAGGACTGATGCCTCTAAATATGCAGGGGGGATGGCAAGGAGGGAAATGATTTATGTCCACCCAAGAATAATGTTGGCACAAGAATAATGTTGGCGGGTAGAACCAGCAGGAATAAACTGAGGCTGGAAATGCAAAGGTTTCCATCCACCGTAGGAGGATTGAGTCTCTGCCTGAAAGGGGCAGGAACAAAAACTTGAGCTGCTTCTCTTGAAGCACAAAATTCAAATGGGCTCATTTCTAGTGCCTCTCAAATGCCTGGTTAAGGCAAACTGGGCTGGAGTTGTCAGCTGTAATGCAATAAAATAAAGCATATTGAGCTCAGCTAAAGTGTATAGTAAATGCAGGTGAACCTTGCAGCCCTTCACCCTCCAACAGTTATTGGAGGGAAAGGAAGGGTTTTCATTGCTTTAATTGAGCTTGTCTCTTTGACTGGAAGCTTGTATTTCTGAAACTCACTTTTAAATACAGAAACCCTCTAGAATTGAAATGTTTGCTTTTGCATTGAGGACAGAAGCTCAGGTTCTGCAGATGAAGCCAGAGGGGTGTTATTAGCTCTCCTCTGATTTACATGTGTGCTGAAACTTCTTTTTTTTCTTGTAACTGAACTGCTGTGAGAAAGCTCAGGGTGTTGTAACAGGAAGCCTGTGTGCATGTGTGCATGTAAATGTGTGTGCACAGGCCCCTTTGCACGCCTGTGTGCACTTCCCTGTGTGTTTGTGGGATTCATGTCTCCCAGCATCTTCCCCAAAATGTGTCTATCGAGATGCTGCAACACTAGGCCAAGAAATCTTGTCCTGTTTTATATTCCACATCAAAAAACTCTGTGCTGTAGGGAGAAAGGAATTGGTTGTTACCTGGGCCAACTTTGTCCTGTTCTTCCCGCTCCTCTTTTTGCCCTCTCTCCCCATCAACATGTCTCACCTCTCCCACCGGCTGCTTTCCTACCCTAAATGTCTTGTGTTAGCATATCGGCGATTCAGGTCTGGGTAGAAAACTTGCCCTTGATCCAGGGGCTTGGAAAGACCAATCAGATGGGAGGACCAGCGAGGACATCTGAGTGTCGCTGAAAGCAAAATCTCCCACCGAGCAGCACAGCCGTTCCCACGGGTGCAAGGGCTGTTGTAGCAGTCCCAAAGCTGCCTGTCGCCCAGCCCCAGCTGTGGGCTCCCCACTGAACAGCCCCATCCGACAGCGGGCCGCGAGCCTGGAGCTCCCCGGGGGTGTCCCAAGCCTCACCCTTCTCTCACATCCCTCAGGTTGCCATGACAAGGCGGTGCTGCTCTACGAATATGTGGGGAAGAGGATCGTGGACTTGCAGCACACGGAAGTACCAGATGCCTATCGAGGGAGAGGAATAGCCAAGCACCTCGCGAAGGTACGGCCCCAGAAGCTGTCACTGTCCCAGCTGCGGCTAGAGACCCTGGCTGAAATGAGGCCCCATCTCACTGGGGTTGCACGTGTGCCCCACGGGAACCATCCCTGCTCCCACGGGAGACAGGGTTGGCTGGCAGGGCAGATGGAAATCCATGGTCAGATATTCCTGTTTCTGGCAGTGAGAGGAGCTGGGGGAGTGCCAGCACGTCCAGGCGCTCGGCCCTTTCTTCCTCATGCCCACCACGCAGGGACCAATGCAGTGCCTTTTCTGGGGGCCAGACCCCCTCACCTCAAAACTTCAAGACACTTTTGAGCCTGTTTCCTGTCTCAGGCCCTGCTTTTGAGGCCTGCAGCCATACAGGGAGAGCCGAGGAGCTGCGAGTGGAGTGGTGGGGGAGGACTGTGGGGTGATGCTTTGGGGTTACAGCTGCTCCCTGGCCCCATAAGCCAGGGCAAATGGGTGACAAAGGTGGCCTTTTTGTGATGTGGCTGGGTCACCTGCAGTGCAGCATCTACCAGGCTGGATGTTTTGAGGGTTACTTGGCGGGGTGTGATCCCCACACACCTCTGGTTAAACTGGGGACCCTGTGGCACTGTGGAGGCTGTAGCAGGATGACTGTGGTCTCCTCTTTTTTTTCCCCCCTGCCTCGCACAGGGCGTATGTGAGGGCAACCTGCTGCTTTCCCCAGCTGTGTGTGGGGTACAGGAGTCCGGATCCCTGTGGGGGCTTCAGAGGATCTTGTGGGATGGGGGTGCTGGTTGTAACCCATCTGTCCTCTCCGGTTGGTTGCAGGCAGCCCTGGACTTCGTGGTGGAGGAGGACCTGAAAGCTCACCTGACGTGCTGGTACATTCAGAAATACGTCAAGGAGAACCCGCTGCCGCAGTACCTGGAACACTTGCAGCCTTAAGGCAGGACTGTTCTGACACCAGCACGCCTGTCCCTGACTGTTCAACGCGGCCTTTGCTTCTCTGCGGTCTCAGGAAACCCCCCTCCTACACTCACAATTCCCATTCTTTAAAGCGCATCCCTGTGGTGCACGAGTGTGGGCACAACCTCCTCCTCTCTGCCCACGTGTGAGTATGGCTATGGCCCTTGGGCCAGGCTGGCTCCGGGCACATGTGGTGCCCCCCTGGTGCTCTTCCCAAGCCAGGGGTTGGAAGAGGATGATTTTTTCACCAAATTCCATCAGAAGACCAGGGAATGACTCGCTTTACACCTCATCCTCTCCCCTCTGCTTGGCGACAGCTGTGAACTGGCTGGGGGATGTTGGTTAGGGATGGTCACAGGGTACCAGCCCCCCTTTCCTCCTGGCAGCTGGAGGAGATGCTGTGGATTATTAAGCCTTGTGGGACAGAGGGAGGTGCTGGAGGAGCCCCGGCCCCATGGCAGGTTCATCCCCTGCAGCATCTATTGGGTGCTGAGCTTTGCCCAAGCCCATGTAGGGCACGGATGAGAACATGTGGGCCATGGTGACACCTTGGTGGCTTTGCTGTGGAGACACTGGGACGGTGACACCTTTGAGCCTAGAGACAGGAGCCTTGTGAGGATCAGGCTTCAGCCGCAGGGGCTGCGGCAGAGCTTATGCAGCATGAGTGTGCAGAGGAAGAAAGGGGGCTGAGTTGCAGATGCTGCTCCCTGGAGATGCCAGCTCCTGCCCAGCCTTCTGTACGTAGCCCCAGCATGGCATCCCCGCAGGGTCATTGGCTGTCGTTCCTGTCTCTGCTCCCTGCTGTCGGTGTTGACCGTGCTGGTGTGGACACAGCCTGCTCAGGAGAAGAGCACCAGTCCCCACAGCTATCCCTGGCCTATGCAATGAGGGGACATCGCATGCTTTTGCAGGGACCAGGGTGGTTTTCTGCAGCTGAAGAGGAAGGCTCCCCCCCATCTCCCTCGACTCCAGCTCTGCACTCCTCTCTCTGCCCTGGATCGTAAGGCCTGAGCTGTCATCACATCCTGAGAACAACGGGGATGAGGCCTCCGGTGCCTGCTCCTGACCTGTCTCCAGGGCTCAGTGCTAGAGCCACCTGCCTCTGCGTGGATGCTTATTGCTTCTCCTTGCAGCCTTTGGAAAGAAGCCCTGGCTCAGGGCATTACCCTTCTACTCACTGGCCTCCTCACAGCTCCAATCCCAGGGTGCTGGCAGCATCGTGGGGTCCTCAGCCAGCAGCAGGAACACCCTCGTGTCATGCTGTTACCTCCACGGATGATGATCCCGTAACAGAGCTCAGCGTTGCCACAGTCGGATGTAGAGGTAACACCGTGTCAGCAGGGCACTGCCTGGTGCTGGCTTGCTGCCCGTCCTGCCTTGCTCAGGTTTTCCAGGGCCTGAGCTAGACCCCAGAGCATCTTCCCCTGAGCTCTTGGGATTTTGCAGTGTCCCAGAGCTGGGTTGTGTTGCGGGAGATGGTGCTGCTGGTACACCAGCCCTAATCAGCTGCTGGGGGCTGCAGCCAGGCAGAGCAAGATAAAGAGCCTTTCACCTGGAGGCTAAATCCAGACCTATCTTATCTCTCAGCAGGGACTAAAGTTTACAATCTGTGCCACAGCCAAAAGGCAGCTCAGCCCTCTCCCAGAGCACAGTCCATGGCAGCAAAGGCAAAAGCTCCTACAACCTTCTCTCCAGGTTGGGTTGGTCAGAGATGGAGACCCTGTGCCTGACCTCGGCCAGGGAGGCCCTGAGCTGTTCCTCCTGGCCACCAGCTCGAGGTGAAGCCCTGCTGCCTGCCTGTGCTTTGGGGCTGCCCACCGCTGACATAACACAGTCCTCTGCCCACAGGCTTGAGTAAAACCTCCCAAACTCCATCCCTGCCCTGCCCGTGTCCACCACCCGCCTGCGGAGGGACCTGTGCCTGGCGGCAGACCCATCTCCAGCCTGTGCTGCTCAGGAAAGGCATCGGGCTCAGCCCTGCCGCTGCCTTGCATTTCTGCCCTCCTTGCTGCTTATTTCAGCCTGGCTGTGTCCTTCAGGATGGCTTAGAGGGACTGGGAAAAGGGTCACAGGTAACAAACTAAAGAAAAGGGGCTCAAGAAGAAATCTGGGCTGCTAAATATTCACTCTTTAACATGCAAAACACACTTCGACATCTAGTTACAGGAGCAAGGCTGGCTCTGTTACAGCCAAGTGATGACAGAACCATCCCAGCTCTTGGTTCCAAGGTGAAGCTGAACTGTCTTGTCTCTTGCAAGCCAAGATAAGACACCATCATATCTTTGTCACAGCGAGGCTGGGTGCTTAGAGATGTGTGCCTGGTTGCCTCGTGGGAGCAATAGCATGAGCCCAGAGCTGCAAGTCTCTGCCCTGGTTTTGTGCTCATCTCCACTGTGTGACAGTTCCCAGAAGTACCCCATCATGTCTGCTGCATAAGTGTGGCTCGCTGGAGGGTGTGCTTTGGTCGCTGCACTGGCAGTGTCCCAGCGTCCAAGCCTGGCTCTGGAGCCCTTTGTGCTGCTGTGGCAGGAACCTCGTGCTTCCCGGCGCTGGATCACAAGTGGTGATTGCTGCCTTAAATCAGGCACAGCACATGGTTTTGCTGCTGCTTCCCTTTGAGGTGCTACAATCCCTCCGGTGTTTGACCTGACGGAGACATGTGCCAGTGTCTGTGCCAACCGTTTCACTGCTGCACCCCTCCTCAGCCCCAGCCTTCCCCTTCCCTGTGGTCTTTGATGTTGGCGAATAGCAATACCCGCAGGTCACCAGCAATGCCACGGTCCGCGGTGCTTCTGTGATCAGGCACTGCCAGGCAGGAGATGGTTTGGAGTCCCTCAGTGTTGGGCAGCCCTTCTTCCTGCCTCTCCACCAGCTGCCCTTTCCTAGCTGGGCTCTGCAGGAAGGAGCTTGGAGTCCGGTGCTGCCCCTTGGTGCTGACTAAGCCTGGAGGAGTTGGGGATCCTGGACACTCTCTGGCAACAAAAGTGTGGAAGTGGTTTGGTTGAATATTGAGGTCCCCAAACCCCTTTGAACTACAGACCTTGGTGGGTGGGGAAAATGCAGATTGCTGTCAAAGCTGCTTCCACATCACCCAACTTGAAACACCCCCTCCCTCTTCCACTTTCCAGCATTGTCTTCCTCTGTCCAAGGTTTCCATTCTGTTGAATTCAGTGGTTACAATGTGCCTTTCCTTCTCAGGACCTGTTACAAATGACCTTTTTTCTTCTGTTTATGTCTAACATTTATCTTTATCCCTCCCTCTGTCATACTATAAAACATGAACGTAATGCATGGAATACAATACAATAAAAAGTGTGGCATAACTGACCCGCAGTGGTTCACTGTGCCGTGCTCGGTGGGAGGCAGGAGGAGGTGTCCGCGGAACCAGGGGACCTCGGGCATCCCCAGTTCTGTCACTGCTGGGCTGGGTCACTTTGTCAGACAGCCTGTTTCACAGGTCCTGTCAAACAACTGTTCTCCAGTTTACATCCAAGGTGTGATTTTTTGCTGTCTTGTTGCACACTAATTTTCTACATAAATGTAAACGGTCTTTTTCTCATCCCCAAAAAACACATCCTCTACCAAATCTCTTTGACAGGAGCTACCATGCATCTGTCAGCATCTTGGAGAAGGAGAGAGAGAAGGCAGGTGCTGGCAGATCTGCATGTTGGTGTACTTAGCATCTGCTTTCCTGCTGCCTAACCTTCCCTTCCAAAAAATTGAGACAATGCTACTTCTCTCCATCATGAGGAAGAGGATCTCCTGCAAGAAGAACCCCATCCAGGTGATGAGGATGATGGAGGGTCTGGAAGACCCTTGCTAAGTTCAGGACAAAGGAGTCAGTCCCAGACCTGGTGTTGGCCGTGGCTCCCTGTGACTTGCAGACAGCTATTTGTGTCTTTTCATCAGCTAACATGGACACTACCTGCATCACCCTTTTCCCATCACAGAGCACCTTGGAGCCAGATCCCAGGCGAGACTGGCACACTCCCATTGCAAATGAACAGGGACGCAGGGGCTGAAGCTATTGAATTTTATTTTGGGTCATCGAGCTGGCTCACCTGATGACTCTGTAGAGCTTGGGGTGAGTGGGCTCACAGGTGGTTCTTCTCCTTTGTCAGCTGATCTGTCCCTGCTCATGCTCACCAGTCCTACCCTGAGATTTCAGGCCAGTCTTCAGTTGTCGTCCTGCAAATGCAGCTTCTCATGAGCAAGCACTCAATGCTTGTGTTTGTTGGTTTAAGTTGTTTGAAAACATTAAGGCATGAAAACATTTAAATAGCCAGCCAGTGGAGCCGTTCCCTGCTGTGCTTGTCCAGAGCAAGGCGGGTGGGAAGGTGACTCAGAGGAACACAAGGCGCTTCCCTCCCAGGGCCAGCGCTCCTCAGCCCTGGGAGCACAGCCTGAGTTTCCAGCGCTTGGGCTCCCAGCAGTGTGTTTACTTCGCTTCCCGAAGCTGGGTGCAAGCTACAGAGGCTGAAGTTTTAACAGCTGAAAATGCCAGGGCTGGGGTGGTGGTGGGGAGAAGGGGCATAGCTTACTTACAGTTATGATTTGATCCAACGTGACAAGTGGCCCCTGGGCTGCAATTTGAGCAGGCAGGAGCGTGGGTTTTGCTGCTCCTAAGAGAAGCGCGGTAGGTTTGTGTTATAGCACGGAGTTGGGCTGTTGCTGGTAACACGCTCTGTTTACATTCCACATTCCAGACAGTCCGATGCTCCGGCCTGTCCCAGCAATGCCGCCGCTCGGCCATGCGCTCTGCCAGGCTGGGCACGCTTCCCAAACGCCTCTTGTTCGTGCAAATGCACTGTTTGCCTCCGCTCAAACAGCTGAGCCCCAGATCATGGCTGAGAAAGCAGGGGTGCAGGAGAGCCCTGCAGTCTGGAAGAGCAGCGTCGCGATGCCTGGGAAGGCGGAGGCAGCCATGGGTTTGTCCTCTTTAGTTACATTACATCACTCGGAAATAATGTTGTCAAAAAGAGGCTTTTTCTAGGAATGGGAGATGCAAAGACAGCGCAGCTCTCTTCTGACGCGCACTGCCAGGCTGGAGGAGGGGTAGTTGTGCTCTCTGACGGGTGCTGGGAGCAGAGGACAGCTGGCAGTGCAGCGTATCTCCAAGAAAGGGGAGGCTGCAGAGCAGGGAGCTGCTGTTTGTTAAGGGAAAACTAATTCCTGAGAAAAAGGCTCCTCTTCTGGGAGGAGTCAGAACTGGGAGCTGGAGAGGGCCCTGGAGACAGGCCATCCAAGCACCCTGGCACAGGTCTCCTTGGGTGACCCTGCTGTGCTGGAGGGTGGCCCAGGGGCTGAGGACAGGGTGGGACCTGGGACACCCCCACAAAACCATCATCGACTAATGCTGGATCAAGAGGAGCTGGGAAACCTGTGGCAGTGGCAAACCTGCATTTCATTTTCTAGTGAAGTGTTTGGCTATAATCTTACTCCTCAGAGGTGCAGAGTGGTGGAGGCTCCCCATTCCCTGCTCCTCTTTCAGAATTAAGGAGGCTGAATTTACCCCTGCAAAGCGCAGTCCCTCTTCCCCAGGGAGGTGCTGCTCTGAGGAGGTCCTCCATCCCGCCTCTGCCTGCAGACATAAATCGCCTGTTTCTTTTCGAGCAGGAAAACAAGGTGACGCTCAGGCTGCGGAGGGCTGCTAACCCCCAGCAAGGGCCCACCCTGCCCCTCTCTACAGCCACTTCCACAGCCCGGACCAGGCCTCTTCGCCCGCGGCGGAGGCCGCACCCCTCCCTCATGGCGGGGCCGCGGGGCAGGCCGGGACTCGCCGCGACGCTCTTCCCGCTGCCGGTGGAAGGAACCGGGAGCAGGGACCGAGGCAAGGGCCGGGGACTGCTCTGGCCGGCCGCCGGTGACGGGACGCGGCCTCGGCGTTCCCGCCCGGCCCCACGCCCGCCGAAAGGACTACGCGTCCCAGGGCCTCCCGCGGGCGGGTGGTGGCGCGGGGCACTTTGGGAGTTGTAGTCCACGCCGGCGCCAACCCCCCCCGTCCGCCGAGCGATTCCGGCCTCCCCCGCGCACTACGTTTCCCGTCGGGCAGCGCGGCAGGCCCGCGGTGCGTTGGCGGAGACATTTGCGAGCCGAGTGTCTCCAAGATGGCGGCGTGGGGAAGGAGGCGCGCTGGCCCCGGCAGCACCAACAGCGGTGGCGGCCGGGAGAGGTGGGTCGCGGCGGGGGTGGGAGGTGTGGGGCTGCCGGGGCGTCACGGGCAGGCGGGGAGCGGGAAGAGGTGGTCTGCAGCCGCCCGGGGCTCCCCGCGACCCCGGGGCAAGGGCGGGGGCCCAGCTGAGGGGAGCGTGGCCGGGCGGGACGCTGCCCCCGCTGAGGTGGGGCTGGGGCGGCGGAGGCCGCCGGGACCGGCGGTTTCCCGCTGTGGGCGGGTGCGGGGAAGGGGCCGAGGAGCGGGTCGGGGGCCGGGGAAGGTCATCGCGGCCCCTCAGGGCGGCGGCGGCGGCCGCGGCCCTTCCCGCCGCGGGGATGCGAGGCCGGGGGGGAGGAGGGCCAGCCCTGGGGAGGCTCCTTCCGCGGCTATTTATAAAGGTGGTAAGGGCACCGACGAGTTCTGCAGGGTGACCTCCTCCTGTGGGCGGCCGCGGCGGTCCCGGCCGCTCCGGGGGTCAGCGCGGAGCCGCCGCTCTCCCCCCGATCCGGGGTTTGGAGGAGCGGGGGGGATGGCGAGGGTGAGGCGGGCGGCGGTCGCCGCCTCGGCGCTCGCAGAGAGCTCTGTAACGCTCTCTCTTTGCCTCTGTCAGGACGGAGGAGCGGCTAGGATGTGCTGGAAGTACCCACAGAGTAGCTGTAGAAGTTTGGAAATCACCATAACTTTAAAACAGGAAAAAGAGACAGAGGAAAATCCTGTTGAGCTACTTCAGAATCTGTATGCACAGTTCTTTACCTACTTAAAACGTCTAGTTAAATCCTGTATTTCTTTATGTTGGCATTTTTCCTGTTTTGCCCCAGGGCTGACTGATGTAACCAGCAGCTGCTGAAAACTGCTGCATTTTTATTGCGAGAAGTTTTCTTTTGTCCTGCCGCCTTACCTACAGACTCTGATATCTCATTTAATTTTTGCTGTGGCTATTGCTTCATTTTGTTCCCTTGTTGTAATTCAACAGTACTCTTTTTGATGGTGTTGAATCTACATAGCCAAGGAGAGCCAGCCACAAGTAGCCCTTGAAATTCTGGCGCTAATATAAATTGCAGGAATGTTGTCTGTGTTCAGGGAGTTTAAAAGTAATTGAACTGGAAGAGCTGATGGAATTACTGCATCAGTGGAGTCTATATAAACAACTAAGAATACCACAGAGCTCAGTGGCACAGTGGTAAAGCTGTCTGCACCCAGTGCTGGCATCTGCCCTGGCGCTGAGCACATGAGGTGTGTTGTTTTCATGTGGTAGACCTGTCCTCCCAGCATAAGAAAAAAAAAAAAAAGTTAGGGAAATATGGAAAAGAGCACTTGAGTGAAAATCATTCTACCAGGGTGAAAATTGACATGGACTTAAAAGTGAGTTGTTACCTTGTAGTTTAATCTGTGAACTGTACAATAATCTAATTGTAGTTTGGGGTGCATTTTTTAACCTACGATTACTCTTGATGTTATGATCAAAAATACTTATTCATAAACACAAGTTACTTCATGAACCTGCTGCATGTGATAATTTTTCCTTTGCCAGTGGGAGCATCTAGCTAAGTATAAGAAAGCACAGAAGCAACATAACAGAACAGCAGATGCACCACTGATCAGCATTTCACAATCCCTATCAAAAGCTAGTGGTTCTTTTAGATGCCATCTTGTACAAGCGTGATGGAAGATCATACTTCTGATAGGTGTTGGGTGATGTCAGCTAGGTACAACTTCTTGTAGTTGCAGAGTTGGAGCTAGATATGACTGGGCCTCTGCCTCTCTCCGTTGGTGTGTAATCCTCATTCACACCTACTGATCTTGTTTGGCTGCTGGCAATGCCAGTTGTGTAAAAGGCAGTGCTGACAGACCTGATGTCATCAAATGATGACATATGCTTTTTATATGGTGAATGCAGTTTTCTTACACTGGGCAGGATTCTTGTCCAAAGACGCATTTCTCTGAACTGAATTTGCTAATCCAGTTTTCTTCATAAATGAGCTGCTTCAGGGAGTTTTATAGTTGTCAGCCAGCTAGTCTAAAAGGCATCTGTGTGTTGGGAGGTGGTGTGAGGAGACTCAGGAGTGAATAAAACACTGTCTGCTATTAGACTAGACCAGCTTTCATTAAAAAAAAAAAAAAAAAGTCCAGCAACTCTTATCTGTAGGGACTGTATTCCTTCATAAACAATGTT